GTGGCCCAGGGGGAGGCTGTTGCCATGGCAGAGGACTGTTGCACAGAAGCGACTCCGAGGCAGGCTTTCCCTAGATCTGCTGTCAGGGCATCCGGGTTGCAGCCTCCGGGTCCCAGCGTGGGGCAGGTGTCCCTCAAGCTGGGATTGCAGGGGCCCAGAATGGGGATCTGTTGTTTGGACCGCAGGGCTTGATCAAGCTCCCAGGTGCCCATCCTGCCCTGCCAAAGACCAATTTTTAATTCACAGCCTCTGGCCTAGAAGCAAAGAGCAGACATGGTCCTTTGCCAGGAGAGCCAGGCATTGTGCCTTACTAGAGTGGGTTGAAGCGCCTTGCAAGAGGCAGACACAGTAAAAATATCCTTTCCCCTCCTGTCCCGGGTCACAGCTCATCAGAGGATTGCAAATTGTGAGTGTTGTCCCTCACTGCTGCACAGGACATGTTCAAACTCATGAAATCCTCCTGCATAGGAGGACATGTCTGTTCCCTGTATGCTGGGATTTGCAGAGTGCCCATGACTGGGTTGTTTCTCTGTTGGTGGTGCACATTCACACATGCCTTTGTGCACAGAGAAAAAAAAATTTCACACATGGCTGGGAAAAATTCGCACATGGATGGAAAAGATGGGAGGAGCTTTTTATATCTTTTGGAGATGGAATTTATCCTGTTATAATTATCCCCCAGTTTTCAGTTACTACTTCATCTAGGAAATGTCTCTGATTCCTACAGATTCTAAGCTTTCAGGCAAATGGTTTCTAGCCCTTTGGGTAGGGAAGTTAAATCTTCCAGTGGTGAAGCTGACAATGCAATGTTGTTTCCTACATCTGCAGGCAGGCAGGCAGGCAGCCAGCCATGCTAAGTTCCCCCTGCTTATAGCTCTGCCAAGCTGCCACAGAACCCCAGCACCCAGCTTTTGGTCACAGTAACCCAGATGGTTGGTCAGCCATGAAACTGACAAGATTCGGATCAATTTCACTCTGCTTCCGTTGGCAAAGCTCTGAGCAGCAGCAGAGGCAGGCTGCTCCCATTCTGTAGCCAGAGACCATGGTGGTGGTAGTGGTGGTGCCGGGAGCCAGCGTATGGGCATCTACTATGTTTTGTTTATATATCACCTTGCACGGTGGGGCCCTGGTTTGTGAGGAAGGCAGTACAGATAACAAGTTTTTAATTGTGATCTGCTAGTAACTCATTCAGAGGTTATGAGTGTACTACAGGAGTAGGTGGGCGGGGTTCTGTGGCCTGCAGTGTTCAGAGGGTGATTGTGCTAGTCCCTTACAGTCAGTGAGTCATGGGAGCCTGTTACAAGCATTGGCAGCCTTGGATTGTTGCTTGGCCTTCTCTCTTCTGCCTGTGTATTATACAGCAGTGAAACAGCCCAGCAGCCTTAGCACCTCGAGCGTGAGCTGGCCTGGCCTGGCTGTGGGTTTTCTTTGCTGTGCAGGCATAGCCTTAGCCTCTCTGTCCCTCAGTTTCTCCCAGTGTACAAAGAGCTCAATAGTGCATCCTACCACACTTAAGTTGTGAGATAAATACATTAAAGATTGTGAGATGAGGAGATACAGTGGTGATGGGAGGGTGATATAATCCTGTAAGATCCTTCCCTCCTTGTGCCTCAGTTTCCTTCTCTGTGAAAAGGGACTGACAATATAGGTATGTTCAGGGCCTTGAGATCTGTGGGTGGAAAGAGCTAGCTATGAGAGCTAGGTGCCCATCTAGGTAGAAAGGGATTTGTCGTTGTGACCAACAAGAACAGCCAGAGCAGGTATAATCAATACTGTGATCCTCTAAAACAGGCCTCCATTTCAGATTTCTGAGACCATGACCTATGAAGGAAGGCTGAAAGAATTGGGCTTGTTTAGTTTGGAAAAGAGAAGATTGAGAGGGGACATGATAGCAGTTTTCCGGTATCTAAAAGGGTGTCACAAGGAAGAGGGAGGAAAAATTGTTCTTCCTGGCCTCTGAGGACAGACCAAGAAGCAATGGGCTTTAACTGCAACAAGGAAAGTTTAGGTTGGACATTAGGAAAATGTTCCTGTCAGGGTGGTTAAAGACTGGAATAAATTGCCCAGGGAGGTTGTGGAATCTCCATCTTCGGAGAGAGTTAAGAGTAGTTTAGATAAATGTCTATCAGGGATGGTCTAGACAGTACTGGGTCCTGCCCTGACAGGGCAGGGGACTGGACTTGATGACCTCTCAAGATCCCTTCCAGTCCTAGTATTCTGTGATTCTGAGGTCAGGTTATTCCATCCCTGACACCATGACACTTCATGCTCTGTCTGCTGGATCAGTGCTGGCCGCTTTCTGGAGACAGAATATCAGGCTAGATGGGCCCCCTGGTCCAACTTGAGGTCCCCCACGTCTGATCCAGGCAGGTGACTCTTGTGGTTTGTTCTTTAATCTGACTCCTTAGTAGAGGTTTTGTGTGGGTTGGAAAACACCCTCTTTGCATTTCAGTTTGATAAGAAGCATTGGAAAATGACTAACCAGTGGTGCAAACCTTGCCCTGTGACTTCTACCTAATGAGCGGCACATACTTCCCCACCTGTTGGAGAATAGCTTTGGTTTATAACTCCAGCATGGAAGATTTATTGCTGTGGCTGGGCAGTAGAAAATAACTCTCTCTCTGCCTGTGCGGACTTTAAACTTTAAAGCCATTAGACCCACAAAGCACACCAGGTCTGGGAGTGTCTGTCTCCAGTTTCCTTGAGTTCTCAGTGTTAGGCAGTTAAGCCAGTACAGTGGTGGCTGTGGGTAACTTGCCCGTACTAAGTCCATAATTTCCCCCCATGGCTGGATGCTTATTTCTTGCTGAGGTCCACAAAGCAAGCCAGATTGGACAGGACTCTTCAAGCACACAGCTCCCCCAAGACTGGGATTTTCAGAGGAGCTGTGTGCCTGGTCTAGCCCCAGTTTTTGTACCGATGAAATTGTTTTGTGTAGGAGGGGTTACTCTCTGCCAGTAGCATTAAATGAGTGTGGCCCTAGTGTGGATGCAGACATGTTGGTATAAATATGCCTTATATTGCCAAAGCTGTTTCCTCTTTCCTTGCACAAATGACCGTGACAAATTAGAGAACTGGTCTGAAATCAACAAGATGACAGTCAATAAAGACAATGCAACTTCACTTAGGAAGAAAAAAGTCAAATGCACAACTATGAAATTATGAACAACTGGAGAGACACTAACACTGCAGAAAAGATCGCCGTGGGGTGTGTGTGTGTGTGTGTGTGTTACAGTGGATCACAGGTTGAATGTAAATCAGCAGTGTGATGCTGTTCTGAAAAAGGCTAATGTCATTCTGGGGCACATTGACAGAAGGGTTGTATGTGAGGCACCAGAGGTAACTGTCCCACTCTGCGTGGTGCTCATGTGGCCTCCGCTGGAGTCCTGTGCCAGTTCTGGATGCCCTGGTGCAGGACAGATGTGGCCATGTTGGAAAGAGTCTAGAAGAGAGTAACACAAATGATCAGAAGTTTAGAAAACCTGACCTATGAGGAAAGGTCAAAACAATTGGGCTTGTTTAATCTTGAGAGGAGACAACTGAATGGGGAGCCAATAAGGGTCATCCAATATGTGAAGGCTGTTACAAAGAGCACGGTTGTCAGTTCTCGGTGTCCACTGATCTAGAGCAAGCAGTAATGGGTTTAATCTAGGGCAAGGGACAGAAGGTACACTTGAACCTCTTTAATCCGGCAGCCTTGGGGAACAGGCTATGCCGGATTATGGAATTTTCCAGACCATGGATGTTTGCCATAATGAAGGGTTCTGGGGGTGCAGGATCTGGGAGGGAGGATGTAAGAGTATGCTGGGGGTGGGTCAGGGAGGGAGGGAGAGTGCATGATGAGGATTGGGGTGTGGGGTCTGGGCATGAGAGGGGTGGGGGTAGGGATGTCAACATGTAGTTGAGCACACGATTAACCAATAAGCCAGGTCTTATCAGAAGCAGCAAGGGGCTGGAGGAGCTGGTGCCATAGGGGAGCACAGAGTCACTTCCTCTTCCCCATGCTAGGGTCCGAATCCTGGGCATTCCCCAATCAAAGACACCTAGATTACAAAGACTCAAGAGTATTAGGGAAAATTTTCTAACTCTAAATGGAGTTACGCTCTGGAATTGGGATGTTAGAGTTTAACCGGTTAACTGAGACGTTGGTGCATATCAGTTAATGTTATTGGTTTAACTCTGCCCCGCTGCTGCCTCCATGGGAGTGGGGTTGGTGGCCCTGGTCCTGGGGAGGCTTCGCTGCGGGTTCTGCAGTATAAATCTTATTTAAGCTTTTATATGGCACAGCCTGCAGCGTGTAACCGCTGAGATTTTTAGCAGCTACATGGTTACCTTTTTCACCAACTTTTACATCCCTCGTCAGATTTGTAGACAGAGAGAGCCCTGCGTGAATACAAAATTGGCGTCTGCATCTGCAGAAATGATCCGCAGATATCGGCATCCACATCTGCGTATATAAAGCGAGAATCTGTGGATTTGCGGGGTTCTGGATGCAAAATTTGTGCATGCATCTGTATCCCGCAAAATGTGCCAGATATCCTCATCCACATCCACAGATATAAAGCCAGCTGTGGACTTGCAGGGCTCTATTTATATGGTCCTGCTGCAGTGCAGGGGTCTGGATTTGTTGACCTCTTGAGGTCCCTCCCAGCCCTATGGGTAGTTGCAGTGATAAAACACCTTTGTCCACTGCTGCAACTGCATCCCTGCTAGTGTTGTTATGTATCACGTGTCTTGCTGGAGTGCCTACGCACTAGGACCCCACACCAGGGAGTGGACAGTCTAAATACAGGGAGATTGTACCACATTAGCTAGATAAACAGAGTTACAGTGGTGCAGCTTTTTGTGTGTAGATGAGGCATGAGGGTGTTGGCGGCACTAATAAACCCTGCTAGCTGCTAGGAACAATGTCATGCCTGCCACAGGTGGCAGAGCGCAGCAGCCTGCGAAGAGAGATGGGCCAGTGGCAGAGCTCTTGCCTACAACTTGGGAGAGTGGGGCCACATTCCCCACGTCTGTCATTGACATTCATGTTGCCTGGCTGTAAAGTGGGGTGACAGAGCCTTGCTTGCGGGCTGTGAGGGTATCCCGTGAAGTAGTGAGGTGTGCAGGTACTGCGATAGCAGGGGCTGGATAGCGTGATAGAGAGTCAGTGTCGCATTGATGATTGTGCGCTGAAGTTTTACAAAGCCTGGGAACTTCCTTCCAGAGAGCTGGATGAAGTGAATTCTCTGTTTGCACAATACAATTATCAAGTCAGGCAGCTTAAAATTTGCTCCTTTTGCTTTTAACTTGGCTCCGCTACCATCCTGTCAGCTTGAATTCTCTAATCCTTGAGTTCCAGCATGCCCTGTATGCCACAAGCGTGGGGACACGTGCAGGGTTGTATACGGCATCTCTGACAAA